GGATACCAAGCTAGCCATGTCCCGTTCCTTGTCCTCACTGATGTCATTGAAGGTCTCTTCCTCCACCCAGCCACGTACAACACCAAGGGTCCCCAAAAGGTGACAACAAGCCCCCAGGGACGCCTGCTGTGTTTGGTCTTCCACCTCCTCAAAGACACCTTCCTCCTCTGACTCCTCTTCTTCAGACTCCTCTCTCTGCATTGCCTCTCTCTGCGTTATTATAAGGTGTGTTAAGTAGTACTATTCCTATCAGTTTAATCCCTGTTAAGTTCCCTATCAGGGGACGTGTATATGGCATCGATTTTAGGAAAGATGCTTGGTCGGTCCTCCTTCTTCAAATTTGGGGCACTGCGCGTGCAATCTAATGTGCCCCCAGATAGAAGTGGTGTGTTAAGTAGTACTATTCTTATCAGTTTAATCCCAATGTCACGACTACTAGTGTGGTCCAGCACGCAGAAACTATGTAAACATATACATAGGCAAGAAAAGGAAAATAAAAGGACAGAGCGTAAACCGGACCTTAGAATGGCCGGACTAATACGCTAGAGACAGAGAATGGTCAAAGGGAAAGCCGAGGTCAAGGAAGCCAGAAAATACACAATACCGTTTACATAAGCCAAGTCAGGGAAACCAGAATTCAGAATAACCAGGGAAAAGCCAAGATCAGGATACCAGGAAATCAGATTCACTCTCAGGAAACCAGGAACAGGAAACCACGACAGGGTAAGGTGCTGGGGTGAGCTAGGGATTTAAATATCACGCGGCGGGCCGGCAGCCGCGACACCATGTTGCATCCCCCTCATCAGGCCTTTTTTAGTCGAATGTATCGCCCACTGTCAGTCTCTTCGGGATCCATCCCTCATTCATCTTAATAAAGGTGAGGTAATCTAGACTTTTTTGACCTAGGCGACTTCTCTTCTCAGTGACAATACCTCCTGCTGCACTGAAGGTCCTTTCTGACCGGACACTTGAAGCAGGGCAGGCCAGAAGTTCTATCGCAAATTGGGATAGCTCAGGCCACAGGTCAAGCCTGCATACCCAGTAGTCAAGGGGTTCATCACTCCTCAGAGTGTCGATATCTGCAGTTAAGGCGAGGTAGTCTGCTACCTGTCGGTCAAGTCGCTCTCTGAGGGTGGATCCCGAAGGGCTGTGGCGATGCGTAGGACTTAAAAAGGTCTGCATGTCCTCCATCAACAACACGTCTCTAAAGCGTCCTGTCCTTGCCGGCGTGGTCATGGGAGGAGGAGGATGACTTCCACCTCTCCCCCTGTTAGATTCCCGTTGTGCTGTGACATCACCCTTATACGCTGTGTAAAGCATACTTTTCAATTTATTTTGCAAATGCTGCATCGTTTCATACTTGTTGTAATTCGGTAACATTTCCGCCACTTTCTGCTTATACCGGGGGTCTAGTAGCGTGTACAGTACAGGTCGTTCTCCTTTAGCCTTTTTATATGAGGGTCCCTCAACAGGCACGACAGCATGAAAGACCCCATTTGCACAAGGTTGGATGCAGAGCTACTCATGTCCTGTTCCTCGTCCTCATTGATCTCACTGAAGGTATGTTCTTCCCCCCAGCCACATGCAACACCACGGGTACCAGATAGGTGACAACGAGCACCCTGGGATGCATATTGTGGTTGGTCTTCCTCCTCCTCCTCAAAGCCACATTCCTCCTCTGACTCCTCTTCCTCACAATCCTCTTCCAGCGTTGCCGCAGGTCCAGCAAGCGATGATGATAAGGCTGTTTCTGGTGGTGATGGTGACCACAACTCTTCCTCTTCATGCTAATCTACAGCCTGACCCAGCACTCTTCGCAGGGCACGCTCCAGGAAGAAAACAAATGGTATGATGTCGCTGATGGTACCTTCGGTGCGACTGACTAGGTTTGTCACCTCCTCAAAAGGACGCATGAGCCTACAGGCATTGCGCATGAGCGTCCAGTAACGTGGCAAAAAAATTCCCAGCTCCCCAGAGGCTGTCCTAGCACCCCGGTCATACAAATATTCATTAACGGCTTTTTCTTGTTGGAGCAGGCGGTCGAACATTAGGAGTGTTGAATTCCAACGTGTCGGGCTGTCGCAAATCAAGCGCCTCACTGGCATGTTTTTTCGCCACTGGATATCTGAAAAGTGCGCCATGGCCGTGTAGGAACGCCTGAAATGGCCACACACCTTCCTGGCCTCCTTCAGGACGTCCTGTAAGCCTGGGTACTTATGCACAAAGCGTTGTACGATCAGATTACACACGTGCCATGCACGGCACATGTGTCAACTTGCCCAAATGCAATGCCGCCAAAAAATTTCTTCCGTTGTCACAAACCACTTTGCCGATCTCCAGTTGGTGCGGAGTCAGCCACTGATCCACCTGTGCGTTCAGGGCGGACAGGAATGCTGGTCCGGTGTGACTCTCTGCTTTCAGGCAAGTCAACCCCAAGACGGCGTGGCACTGCCGTATCCGAGATGTGAAATAGTACCTGGGGAGCTGGGGGGTGCCGTTGATGTGGAGCAAGATGCAGCAGCAGAAGAGGACTCAGCCGAGGAGGTTATGGAAGAGGATGGTGTAGAGGAGGTTGCAGCAGGCCTGCCTGCAAGTCGTGGTGGTGTCACCAACTCCTCTGCAGAGCCACACATTCCATGCTTGGCAGCCGTCAGCAGGTTTACACAATGCGCAGTGTAGGTGATATACCTGCCCTGACCATGCTTTGCAGACCAGGTATCAGTGGTCAGATGGACCCTTGCCCCAACAATGTGTGCCAGACATGCCATTACTTCCTTTTGCACAATCGAGTACAGGTTGGGGATTGCCTTTTGTGCAAAGAAATTTCGGCCGGGTACCGTCCACTGCGGTGTCCCAATAGCTACAAATTTTTTGAACGCCTCAGACTCCACTAGCTTGTATGGTAAAAGCTCCCTCCTGCCCAACCTGCTTACCAAGGCAGACCTGGAGGCTCTTTCTGATCGCCTCAGTAAAGTAATTTGGGACTAACTGGCACAGGTGAGAGCAGATGTAGCCAGCATGGACACACGACTCACAGTTACAGAGGCAGACACCAGAACACTCAGGTCAGACGCTGATACAACACGCACCACACTAAATGGCTGTGAAGCCAGCCTAGCCCACCTGACAACCTAGGTTGATGACCTTGACAACAGGGGCCGCAGGCTCAACCTCCGTGTGCTTGGGGTAAGAGAGGGGGGCCCAGCGGAAAACATACCAGAGATCCTGCGCACAACCTTCAGCCATGCCCTGGGAGGCCAACAAATTCACAGACTGGGCCTGGTCAGGGCCCACCGAGCACTACGCGCGCCGCCAGCACCCGGCGAACAGCCGCGCGATATTGTCTGCTGTCTAGACAATTTTGCAATGAAGGAAGACATACTGCGCGGTGCATGACGCATGGGCACAATACGCATCGATAACCAGCAAATATCCATATACCAGAACTTCTCCCGCTACACCCTGCAGACAAGAAAGGCCCTCAGACCTATCACCACAGCACTCCAAGCGGCAGGTATCCCATATAGATGGGGGTACCCTTTCTCCCTGTCCGTCCACAGAGGACCAGACCTCAACGTTATATGGACCCCGGTGGATGTCCCAGGGTTCCAATGCTCACTAGGGCTCCAGCAAGTACAGGTACCAAACTGGCTGGGTCACCAATTCCTGCAACAAGCAACAGGCCCTCCACCACCACCACTGGGTAGAGACCAGGGCAGGGACAGACCTCAATGCAATCGACCATGGCACCCAGACCCAACAAGACCGGAAAGAATAACTGCCGCAGCACGACACAGAGGCAAGCTGTGAGGGGACGACCCACCAACATGTTCCTCGGACACTCATCACACTTGTGAGTACTTTTTCAACTACCAGGGGACACTGAATACATTCACATAACGCACCACTGGGAGGGATAAGCATTACTCTTGTGGTGGGGGCATGTGTGGGTCCGGACATAGCTACGCATGGGGACTAATAACCAGAGGCCTCTACACAGGGGCGTCTATGCCGCTACGGGTGGAAGGAATATAGGCCGAACCAGCAGCAGACAACTTGGTGAAATTGAACTCAGTGGCACCAACATCCATCCAGGACAGTTCGTGACCGAATAGGGTCAGTCTGCCATGGTACTGCAGGATGAGGAGGGGGGAGGGAGCAGAGGGGGAGAACTGTGGTTCCTTTGATGAATGCATGGCTCCTTGGGGGGCAGAAGTCATACGAGCAACCTTATTTCACACATAGGGAGATAGGCCTAACAACCTGAGATCTATGCATTAACACACAAGCACTGGACCTCAATGCGGGAGGGACATGAGAGAGAGAGGGGGGGTATGACAAGTTGACACCTGAGAGGGGGCAGAGGGCATGGGAGAGGGGCCAGGGCAGGGGCTGGGAGGGGAACGAGGTGAGAGGGAGGGAGGGACAAGGGGAGGGAAACTCCATAAAGAGAGGGGAGGAGGTGGGGAGAGTGGGGGAGGGAGGGGAGGGGAATGAAATATACAGAGAACACACAATTTTTTTTTATAAAAAACACGAGGGATGGCACGATACATGACAAACAAAAATGGACAGTAACAAACATGAAGTGGGAGGGGAGGGAAGGGGAGGATAATTTGACAGGGGATGAGTAACTAGCACATAGTGACCGCTCAAGATGAGATACATTGAGAGGCACAAAACTGCAGACACCACAAGGTGCTAGGGGTCCTCTGGCCAAACAGTAAGAGGAAGGAAGGTGTCGGGGAAGGCTGGGAGAAGTAGCAATTCCCAGGGAGGGTTTAAGATATAGGCAATTGCTCTGACAGTCATTAATTAGTAGGACAAAGACCCCTCGCCACGCAGCAGCGGCCACCGACACAACGCAAATACAGATTCAGGAATAAGGCCACTCGGGTCCCACTCCATTGGCCCTCCTCTTAAGAGGGCACCCCCGATATCCACAATGCAGTGAACACATAACCCCATCACGACCCACAAAGTACTCACACCAGCGCCTCATGACCCACGGGACCCACAATCAGAAATCAGAACGGGGGACGATAGGAGACGTGCTACACCCGCAGCTGCCCACACATGGACGGTACAGACTGCGACTTGCCCCACGACACACGCACATAGGAGTAGCTTCCCAGTCAGAAGAAGGGCCTACACGGGCCACACCTTCTCAATACTAGACAGATGCCACTCTCCGTCGCAGACGGCTGGACAGACGGATATCCCCGGTGCCGCTCAGGACTGATTCGGACATTCCCGCCCCCATCGGCCGGAGGCAGACGAGGGATACCTGAGTTCCCACCAGGACTGTAGTCCATTGACCAGACCACACCCTAGTTTCCTATAGGACCACAACACTGACACACCCACACCCCCCTTTCTTTCCTATTCCTGTTTCTCTCTCGCCCCCCCTCCTCCCACCTCTCTCCCCTCCCCCAGCCCTGGTTACCGCTACCAAACAAACCATCCAAGACTACTTCCTCGCTAACGAGACGGAAGACACGACACCCCTGCTGTGCTGGGAGGCGCATAAAGTAGTGCTTCAGGGTCACTTTATTGCGCACTGTTCCGCGCGGAAAAAGGCGCACAACCAGACAATAACGGACCTCAACAAGGATATTGCGGAACTGGAATATCGTCATAAGCAGACTCTGGACCCCTCGACCTACCGTGACCTTCTTCTGAAGCGCACCCAACTCACAGGACACCTGAACCGAGCAATCCAACGCTCTTTCCAACAATTCCAACATATGGTGTATGAACACGGGAATAAATGTGGCAGACTCCTAGCAACCCTACTAAAAAAGCCCAGGAACCACCTTTATATTCCCAAGATTCAAAATGCTGCTGGGCGAATGTGCCATCTACCGGACCAGATCTCGGCCGCATTCACCCAATATTATGAGGACCTCTACAATCTACGATGAGACACACAGGCTGCCGAAACACCCCGCAGGAGCGAGGCGATCCGCGCATACCTGGATTCAGCAGGATTGAATGAAATAGATGCCTCGGACCAGGACGAATTGGAGGCCCCCATAACCGTGGAAGAGTTGGCATGCGCAATCAAAAAGGCTAAGACGGGGAAAGCACCGGGGCCAGATGGACTCCCACTACTGTATTATAAAACCTTCCTACCGGACTTCCTACCAAAATTACATTCGGCTCTGAACTCGATCCTAGACGACGCAACCCCGTCAACCCCGTTCACGGCTGCAAACATCACCCTCCCGAAAGAAGGCAAGGACCCATCATTGTGTGCAAGCTACCGCCCGATATCGGTGCTGGATGTAGACGTCAAGCTCCTTGCCAGTGTGTGGGCAGGCCGATAGGCACCATTACTCCTGGACATGGTCAACCCAGATCAAACAGGGTTTATTCCCGGGAGAGAGGTTCAGGATAACACCATACGGGCACTGAACCTGATCTCGGTAGCTGCACAATCCAACCAGCAGATCTTGATCCTCTCCACGGACGCCGAGAAGGCCTTCGATAGGGTAGACTGGGCATTCCTCTTTGAAACCCTTCGGAGCCTGGGCATAGGCCCCAAATTCATATAATGGGTAGAGGCGCTCTACAGTGACCCGACGGCATGACTCTGCATCAATGGGGCCCTCACGGACCCGTTCCGAATATGCAATGGACGCGCCAGTGCTGCCCCCTGTCCCCCCTGCTCTCCCTCACTCACCCTGGAACCGTTCCTTAATAACATCAGAGGAAATGGGGACATTCGCGGACTCAGTATAGGCCGCGCACACCACAAAGTTCTGGCATATGCAGATGACCTCCTCTTCATCGTACAACACCCGGCCACAACACTGCAAATGATCATGACGGAATTCGAGAAGTACGCCAAAGTCTCCAACCTGCGCATCAACTACACCAAGTATGAAATCTTAAATCTCAACGTTGGACACAGTCACTCAGATGCCGGTTCCCCTTCCGTTGGTGCACCACCAAGATGCGATACCTAGGGGTGTGGCTCACACCACACCTGGCAAACCTATACACTCACAACTTCCTACCACTCGTCAAGACCACGCAGTCGGAACTCCAAACCTGGAACGCTCACTACATATCCTGGGTAGGCCGCATTAACACGGTGAAGATGACCCTACTCCCCAAATTCCTATTAGTTTTTCAAACAATACCGGTCACAGTACCGAAGACCTTTTTTACATCCATCCAGAAGGCAGTCCGACACTTCATATGGAAAGGCAAATGCCCCCGAATAGTACACTCTCAACTGACCCTCCCTAAACTCAAAGGGGGACTGGCCCTCCCCGACTTCAGGAAATACTACATCGCAACTCACCTAACTCAGATCATAAGCTGGTCGACCGCATCATGAGATAAACCCTGGGTCCAACTGGAAGAGGATAGCACTGACTGCGATCTTAGAGCTTTACCCTGGCTCACACGGGAGGCGAGCCAGCGAATCCAACACGCGAATCCGTTCATGAAGGCCACCCTTCGTATCTGGCCAAATAGCGCAGTATTGCCAGAGCTGGGTCTATTGCTCTCCGTTTGTGAGTTTATATAGTAGATTACTGTTTTAGATATTATCTAGTCATATACTATCTCCACTATATGTGATTGTCTTTTGCAAATACCTGACAGACACTCAAGGGAACACTCCTCTTAATTACCCAAAGGTGATAAATTATTCACTTATTCAGTATAAAAGCGCTACATTCTTTCTGTTTTTTGTATAATCAAAATTAATCCTAATTATTAATCTGTGGGTAAGTATTACTGTTTATTTTGGATATGATACTGACACACAAGGCTAATGGTCATTAACATATCAAAGGACTCCCTATCTAAGAGGGAATCTAGACATATGGCAAATTAGAGAGTTTGGGTTATATTTAAACCAGACTTCCAGGCCACTTATCTGTGACTTCTCACACCCTGCAGAGCCTTTGATTAATCAAAGGATCAATCCATATGGTAAACCATCTGACCCCTTTCACATTCCTATGCAATTTACAATACCCAAAAAAGAGAGAGCAAGGAACACAACGTTCCAAGTCCCTGTATAGCCGCCGCACCCACCACCTCAAAACCTCCCCAAAAGGGGGGCAGTGGCTGCAGGGGTCACGCAGAGACAAACGTACCAGTATGAGACTCCAGCTGTCTCAGAGGGGCTTAACCCCAAATATAAACACAAGAACAAAGAAATATGCAGACCGTCTCAATTATATGAATGAAACTTACTGCATTGACTGGAAAAAATATATCTATGTATAGTGCGATGTTCCAAATATAGAACCTGGCTATTAGAAATAATATGGTCAGAGACCCTAATTAAACAAAGTATATACAAGTGAACCTACAATCCTATGCCAGCCCAGGGTAGTATAGATCAAGAGGTAGTAAAAAAGATAACCTCACTCCCCCTTATAATTAAGCTTTATTGTGATCTGCTATAGGGATAGGAGTATACAGTAGCTAAGTCTCTATAATCCATGCATCCTAGGAAGTATCCTGGTCACACTAGAAACATATTAAGAAAAACAGAGAGAGATAAGGACTGAAAATAGAAGTAAAAAAATCAGTCAAAAACAGACTGATAATTAGCATTAATAAAGCCTCTCTCCCTGTAAAGCTAGCTAGATAGGCATAGGAAAGAAAAGAAGAAAACGATATAAATTAAAGTTAAATTAAATGGTGATCATGGTGCTCCAAACACCAGTGCCCAGTGCAGAAAAAACGCCCAACGTACGTTTCGGTGCAGAGAGATGCACCTTCGTCAGGGGCCAACAGATAACTGAAGAGAAGCCTCTTAAATACCCCAATTGCCAGGAAGCATGATTACCTTGTAGCCAATGGAGTGTGGGGGTGTATACCTCCCCAGCTGCCTCTAATATCCTGGCTATTCCTCTGTGATTGCTAATGCTCATTCATCTGTATGAAGGGGAAATCCCTCAGCCGGTCACGTGACCTGTGATGTCATGCGTCACGTGACATATCAGGCATTCTCCTAACGGGGCGTGGCTCATTCATCATAGTGCTGCAGTACCGCCCATCCGAGCCTCTCCTGTCCATCATCCTCACATGGGTTGATCCCCTGTGACAGATGGGCGGAGCTAGGTATTCTCTGTGTATGGAGAAACCGAAATTGTCCAAATTAAGGCTTAAATTGATAAGCTGCATATTGATAATGTATCATTCCAAAGTACCAATGTGTACTATATAGGATGTACAGAGTCAGCTGAAAATATAAGGCAGTGCTGATTACATATTATTCTAATACTGAATCTATTAAAGATGTAGTAAAGAATATGAGAGGACACCCCAATAATAAGAGAAAAATTGAATGATAAGGGGTCCTGGGATGTTGTTAACTCCCACTCCCCCGTCCCAGGCAAGGATATATGATAATAAATATATTTAGTGTTCCTAGGACCCATGCTAGGATGCAAAATTAGCATGGTACATCCTGCCGCTATATCCTGTACACTGAGTCACTTGACAATATGAACCTCTGAATGACCAGATATGACTTAGTCCGTAAAATAAAAAAAAATAAAAAAATAATAATAAGGCTAGCATTCTTTTTGTCAAGAGGTCTTTAAACTTATGGCACCTGAGGTTCCTAGTTGGTCTCCCATACAAGTACTAGCCAGGCCCAAGTCTGGATAGCTTCTGAGATCTGACGAGATCAGGCATTTTCAGACTGGTATGGCCATTGATATTTTCATTCAAGTGCTCAGCAAGCTTGGTCTAGGAACATTATTGGTATTATAGTCATGATATAGCTATTTCCTTGGGAGAATTCAAGCATTAGCAATTTAGTGGTCCTCATCCGGTAATCATGAGAATAAATTTATATGATAAAAAATAATAATATAAAAAATAATAATAAATAGGAAAGAATAGTGATAATAGTAGTAATAGTAATAAGCAAAGAATATACCCATTGTGGAACAAACCGCGCTATATTTACAAATTTACAAGTGTATCAGGCCATAAGGCTCACTCAGAATAGATTAGTGCAGAGATCACCCGCCGAGTACCACTGCCCGTATATAGGTCTGAGTCCCACATCTGGTATCAGTGATCTGCAATAAATGGTGTATATGAGAAACCTTCGTTAAGTCCCAAGGGTGACAGGGTTTTGAGCTTATAGATCCAGAAGCTCTCCCTTTGGAGTAGCTTCTTGTCTAAATCCCCCCTCTTGGTCCCAAGGTAACCCTTTCAATACCACTAAATCTGATTCCTTCAGATGAGCCCCCATGATGTAGTTTCAAATGTTTAGAGATAGGGGTGTCGATTTGTCTTGTGGGGTTTACCGAATTGACATGTTCCCGTATCCTAAGTTTAAACGTCCTAAAGGTTTTTCCCACATACAGTTTTTTGCACGAACAGGAAAGTAAGTATATAAGCCCTTTGGACTGACAGTTAAAGAAATTCTTTACTTTGAATTCCTGTGTGCCGAGGGAGTCTGGGAATGTTTTGGAGGGTCTACGTATAAACCTACATGCCTTACATTTCCCACATTGATAGGTCCCTAAGACTGGGGACTTCAGCCATGATGTTTTCTGGGGTGTAGTCTTGAGATGGCTAGGGACCAACATGTCCTTGATGTTGCGTCCCCTTCTTGCTGTTACTGAAGCCTTATGTGTGATTACCTTCCGTAAGTGTGGGTCTTGTTGTAAAAGGGGCCAGAATCTGTCCAAGATTTGCATCATTTGATGCCAGCCGGCATCAAAATTCCCTATACATCTTATGACTGCCTGTGATGGCTCTGGGTTATGTTCGATTAGAAGGTCTTTCCGATCTGACAGTAAGGCCCGTTTATAAGCGTGCTTTAAGCATCTATTCGGGTACCCCTTTTGTTTGAATTGGAGTTGTAAGGTCTTAGCCTTTAGTTTAAAATCATCCAATGTAGAGCAATTGCGTCTAAGGCGCAAGTATTGTC